CGCTGGCCGAGGCTGGAAGCCCTTTCCCGGTGCCTGGCAGACAGTGCCTTCCTGTTCCTCTGGGAGATGGAGCCCAAAGAGGGAAAGGGTTTCCTAGGGAGGCTGTGTGAGGTCCTGGCTTGGAAGACAGCAGAGCCGACCTCTCCGGGTGAGGGAGCGTGGCACTCTTGAGAGGTGGCGTAGGCGTGCAGGGACGCAGGGTAGTGTTTGCCTTTAAAGACTTGTGTTACCAGCTTGCGGCCTTTCAGGAAGTGCCTGCCCTGTCCGGGAGGGCTTGTGGATGGGATGAGGGCCGTGTGGAGGGCCCTGTGGAGATGAGAGGTGCGGCGTGCGGGGCCCTGAGGGATCGCTTGGGGCGTCTGGGACCCCGCGAGGCCTCTGCGTGGCGGGAGAGGCTTGTCCTCAGCACTGTGCCGGAGCATGGCCAGGGCTCTTCTGCTATGGCAGGCTTAGCTCTTAAGTCACGTACTTAAAATTAATTCCTTTTGTGGAGATGGGTATTTTCCTGGTTTCTAATTTCTCACTTGGTTTTCAGCCAAAACCCAAAGTCTCTCACATGGCTTTACCCAGCGCCTCTCGTGGCGCTTCTAGCCTGTGCGGGCCTGGAGCACAGCCTGAAGCCCGTGTGTCCCCTCTGCAGAGCTTGGGCCTGGTGGACAGGAACAACGAACCGCTCACCCACGCCATGTACAACCTGGCCTCTTTGCGGGAGCTGGGTGAGACCCAGCGCCGGCCGTGCACCATCCAGGTGCCAGAGCCCATCCTCCGAAAGATAGAGACCTTCCTGAACCACGTGAGAGCCCCTTCTGCCATCCCCTCCTCGCCTGCCCATGGCCCAGGAGGGCCCAGGGTGGTTGTGGTCCGAGTCCTGTGCCTGCGGGTTGGGCCCTCACCTCCGGTGCGCCCCGTGGAGGAGGAAGATTGCATTTCCCCGTCACCACTTTGCTTGCCTCCTTGTCCCCCAGTACCCCATGGAAAGCTCCTGGCTCTCACCCGAGCTCCGGCTGCAGAGCGAGGATCTGTTGCCGCTGGGCAAGGACTCAGGGCCGCTGAGCGACCCCATCACTGGCAAGCCCTTTGTGCCCCTCACCGAAGCCGAGGAGGTGCGCCTGAGCCAGAGCCTGCTAGAGCTGTGGCGGCGGCGGGGGCCCATCTGGCAGGAGGCGCCCCAGCTCCCCGTGGACCCGCACCGGGACACCATCCTCAGTGCCATCGAGCAGCATCCCGTGGTGGTCATCTCAGGGGACACGGGCTGTGGGAAGACAACGCGCATCCCCCAGCTGCTGCTGGAGCGCTACGTGACGGAGGGCCGCGGGGCCCGCTGCAACGTGATCATCACGCAGCCCCGCCGTATCTCGGCCGTGTCTGTGGCGCAGCGGGTCAGCCACGAATTGGGCCCTTCCTTGCGCCGGAACGTGGGCTTCCAGGTGCGCCTGGAGAGCAAGCCGCCGGCGCGGGGCGGGGCGCTGCTCTTCTGCACGGTGGGCATCCTGCTGCGCAAGCTGCAGAGCAACCCCAGCCTGGAGGGCGTGAGCCATGTCATCGTGGACGAAGTCCACGAGCGGGACGTGAACACGGACTTCCTGCTCATCCTGCTCAAGGGCCTGCAGCGGCTCAACCCTGCCCTGCGGCTGGTGCTCATGAGCGCCACGGGTGACAATGAGCGCTTCTCCCGCTACTTTGGCGGCTGCCCTGTCATCAAGGTGCCTGGCTTCATGTATCCTGTCAAGGAGCACTACCTGGAGGACATCCTGGCCAAGCTGGGGAAACACCAGTACCCGCACCGACACCGGCACCACGAGGTGAGGCAGGTCTGCCCCGAGGCCCCGGCCTGCCCCCTGGGCTGCCCCTCCCGAGGCCTGTGGTGGGTGGCCTGGGGCACGTTACCTCCTCCGAGTTTCCTGGATGGAGATGAGAGCAGTGGTGCTCACGTGGCAAGGACATGGGGGTTGGTGTGGACATGTCTGCCACCACTCTTGCCCGGGTGTAACTGGCATCTCTTCCCCCACCCCAGTCTGAGGACGAATGTGCCCTCGATTTGGACCTTGTGACTGACCTGGTTCTGCACATCGATGCCCATGGGGAGCCAGGTGGGTACTTCCACCCCTGCCCGGGCATGCCCACCCTGGCGCCCACCAACCACTGCCCACTGGCCGAAGCAGCTGGCTCATGCGTGTAGGCCCTTTGCAGGTGGGATCCTGTGCTTCCTGCCCGGGTGGCAGGAGATCAAGGGAGTGCAGCAGCGCCTGCAGGAGGCCCTGGGCGTGCACGAGAGCAAGTACCTCATCCTGCCAGGTGAGAGCCAGCGCGCGGACTCAGGCGCTAGGTCCCCAGGGTTGGCTCAACAGCCTTGGAGGGCACAGGCTTCTGACCGGTTGCACCATTTTCCCCTGGCATCTCATTGATCTGGGCCTCAGTTTCACCAAGCTGGGGTCAGAATGTCCTTCCGGGGCCGGCTGCAGCAGGAGCAGCGCCCGTAACCAGCATGCGTCTTGCTGCCCGCAGTGCACTCCAACATCCCTATGATGGACCAGAAGGCCATATTCCAGCAGCCTCCAGCTGGGGTACGGAAGATCGTCCTGGCCACGAACATCGCGGAGACCTCCATCACAGTCAACGACATCGTGCACGTGGTAGACAGCGGTCTGCATAAGGAGGAGCGCTACGACCTCAAGACCAAGGTGGCGCCTCTCACCTGGTCCCAGCCAGGTCTTTTAGTGGCCCGGCCCAGCTGTGCCTCGGGCCTGCGCTGTGTGTGGCGGCCACGCCTGGGGTCTGTCCCTGCGGGGGAGCTGCTGCGGGTTTAGTGGCGCCGTGGGAAAACACTCAAAAGCCGCAGACGTGCCAACGCCCCGCTGCCCTCCCCCAGGTGTCCTGCCTGGAGACCGTGTGGGTGTCGAGAGCAAACGTGATCCAGCGCCGAGGCCGGGCAGGCCGCTGCCAGTCGGGCTTTGCCTACCACTTGTTCCCACGGAGCCGGCTGGAGAAGATGGCCCCCTTCCAAGTGCCCGAGATCCTGCGCACGCCCCTGGAGAACCTGGTGCTGCAGGCCAAGATCCACATGCCCGAGAAGACGGTAAGTCCGAAGTGGTGGGCGAGAGGCTGGGGTCGGGGGCTCGCGGCTCGCGGCTCACAGGTGCCGGTTGTCTTTGCTAGGCAGTGGAGTTCCTCTCCAAGGCGGTGGACAGCCCCAACATCAAGGCGGTGGATGAGGCTGTGATCCTGCTCCAGGAGATTGGTGCGTGGGGGGCTGGGCCAGGCAGAGCAGAGCTGGGGGTACTTGGCTGGGGCTGACAGCCTCACCCTTGCAGGGGTGCTGGACCAGCGCGAGTACCTGACCACCCTGGGCCAGCGTCTGGCCCACATCTCCACGGACCCACGGCTGGCCAAGGCCATTGTACTGGCTGCTATCTTCCGCTGCCTGCACCCACTGCTGGTGGTAGTCTCCTGCCTCACCCGGGACCCCTTCAGCAGCAGCCTGCAGAACCGCGCAGAGGTGGACAAGGTCAGAGCCCGTCCCTTCCTGCCAGTCCTTTGTACGTGGAAGGTGTCCTGGCCCTGCCCAGGACCCCGGTGCCATCTCTCTCCAGGTGAAAGCGCTGCTGAGCCACGACAGCGGCAGTGACCACCTGGCCTTTGTGCGCGCTGTGGCCGGCTGGGAGGAGGTGCTGCGCTGGCAGGACCGCACGTCGCGGGAGAACTACCTGGAGGAGAACCTGCTGTACGCACCCAGCCTGCGCTTCATCCACGGTCAGCCCCGGCCACCGCCCGACCTGGCCACTGCCCCACCCCGCCCGCAGGGCCCCATTCACCCCCGGCTCCCTCCGCAGGGCTCATCAAGCAGTTCTCCGAGAACATCTATGAGGCGTTTCTGGTGGGGAAGCCCTCGGACTGCACGCTGCCCTCGGCCCAGTGCAACGAGTACAGCGAGGAGGAGGAGCTGGTGAAGGGTGTGCTCATGGCTGGGCTGTACCCCAACCTCATCCAGGTGCGTCCTGGCAGCGGGAGCGATGTCTGCCTTCCCACCCTGCCCCGCGCCCTGCTCACGCCCTCCATCCCTGCAGGTGAGGCAGGGCAAAGTGACCCGGCAAGGGAAGTTCAAGCCCAACAGTGTCACGTACAGGACCAAATCCGGCAATATCCTGCTGCACAAGTCGACCATTAACAGGTGGGGGACAGGCAGGACTGGACAGGCGGCTGGGGAGGGTGGGGGGGCAGGCTCACCCAGCCCTGTGTCACTTCCCAGGGAGGCCACACGCTTACGGAGCCGGTGGCTGACGTACTTCATGGCTGTCAAGTCCAACGGCAGCGTCTTTGTGCGCGACTCCTCCCAGGTGCACCCACTGGCGGTGCTGCTCCTGACCGACGGGGACGTCCACGTCCGGGGTGGGTGCCCACACCTCTTGGTCCCACACCCCCCGCGTCCTTGGGCCTGGCCTCCCGTCAGTTCTCTGCCATCTCTTCCTTCCCTACCAGATGATGGGCGCCGCGCCACCATCTCCCTGAGTGACAGTGACCTGCTGCGGCTCGAGGGGGACTCGAGGACTGTTCGACTGCTGCGGGAGCTGCGCCGGGCCCTGGGCCGCATGGTGGAACGCAGCCTGCGCAGCGAGCTGGCCGCACTTCCCCCCGGCGTGCAGCAGGAGCACGGGCAGCTGCTTGCGCTGGTGGCGGAGCTGCTGCGAGGACCCTGTGGCAGCTTTGACGTGCGCAAGACGGCGGACGACTGAGCCCCTCTTCCGCTGGGGCTGTGTACAGAGTGCAAATGTTTATTTAAAATAAAGTTCTATTTATCCCTTGTGAGCATCGCTCTCCAGTAGGGGCGCCTGTCACTCGCTGGCCCTGCGCTCAGGCAGTGCTGAGTGGCTTCTTACCAGGCCACTAAGACCTACCCTGCTTGGTGACACTGTAGACACTTGCCTTGGTGACAGCCACAGACGAGTGTGTGTGGTGCGTCCCGGCAGAAGGAGGGGGACGGACAGACAGAGGCTACACAGGGCCTGCGTGTGGAACATCAGGCAGCTTTATTTACTCTTAAATCAGTACAACAGAACACAGACATGGGTAATGGCTGAACCACAGCAAGCTGGGAAGTGCAGAAAGTCCCAGCCCTAAGTGGCTGCAAAGTAGTCCGCATCACACAGGGGCCGATGGTCCCCATCTGTCAGGTGAGCCTTCGCAGGTCCTCCGGCTTGCAGGACACGTGAGGGGCGCAGGGCCTAGATGGCCTCTCAGGGTGGACTGGTGGCCCAGCCTAGAACGCTCCCACATCAGCCACTTCCTTTCCCCAGCCCTTGTCCAAGGACCCAGAGCCTGGCACCAACTTTAGTTTCCCGATGGCCCCAGGATGGACCCTAGCAGGGGAGCAGGTGCCTTTGGACACTGTCACCCCCTCAGCGCCCCCTGCTTCCTTCTCCCCGCTGCCACCTGGCGACAGTACCAGTGCCCTAGTGTCGCTGGCACGGCAGACAGCATGAAGGCAGTAGCCCAGCTCACTGTCCAGTACGCGCCTCCCCGAGGAAACAGCTGCTTCTGGCACGGGCATACCTCCCTTGAGACCCAGGGACCCTGGGGTGAAGGTCCTGAGGGGGCCGGAGTCACGTCCAAGGCAGCTGCCACTGCTGCCTCTCCGAGGCAAGTCTGCGCAGCAGAAAATGCCCTCTGGAGAAGCGCTTGGAACCTCCCAGGCCACTTCACTACAAACTTACGTTTTAATCCTTTATTAGAAACCATGCAAACTTTTAATACAAAAAATACAAGTGCAATAAGAATCTTTGTGTCCATACGGTCCCCGGGATCACTGCGGCCGGCCCCTCCACTCAGCCAGAAGGGAGTAAGGGGCCCCAGTCTCATGCCTCCTTTTCCAATTTCCAGACCTGATTCCCAACTGTCCACATGCCTGGCCACCTGAGGGTCCCCTGGACGAGGCCGTGGGTGCCCCAGGGTGGCAGGTCAGGATTTTGACCCCACGGCCCACTCCTGCTTCTGCAGCACTGGCCTCACGTCACACAGTGCCCACCAAATCCCAGGGAACGAGACAGACAGATGCCAAACCCAGCCTCTTGGTTAGAAAAGAAAAAAGCAGCATACACACGAAACGCCAGCACAACCAGCCCGTCCCCAGGCTGCCCCCCCGCCCACGGCATCCCGCCCACGGCGTCCAGGGCCCCATGCTGCCCCACGCAGGGCAGCACCAACACCCTCGCCCTCCTGGTGGAGGCCTGGCTTCTCCCTCCCCACCCCCTTTGCACCTACTGCGCCCCTCACTTAGACATGGCTTCAACCTGCACAACTACTCCACTGGTGATAGGTTACCGGGAAACAAGAAAGGAGGTGCGACGACAGCTAGGCAGGGATGCTAAGCAGCAGCGCGCGGCGTGGCCCCTAACTAAGGCGGGGAGCGGGAGGGCCCGGGGCCACCTGCTCGGTGGGCGCCATTGTGGGGTCACAGGGTGAGTGAGGCGGAGGCTTGGAGGCTCCAGGGACGCAGTCCGTGTGCGCTGGGCCACCACCCAGAACCCACCCCACGCATCCCTCCAGGTTGGCCGGGGAGGAGGGAGGGTATGTCAGTTTCTTTTGCGTTTGGTCCAAAAAACCAAACATCGGAGTAGGAATCCAGTTCCTCCCTCCTAGACCCCACGAGACTCCCCTCCCTACCCTGCAGCAGGGCAGTGGCCGGGGACGGGACAGGAGCAAAGCAGCAGGGGGCCAGGCCTGCCGCTGCCTGGAGCAGGGGAGGGGCCTAGTAGGGCTGCCTGGCACCCGAGTGGGCACTCACAGGTCTAGTGGGCAGCCCGGGACAGGGAGCCGAGGGCGCGGGAGCCAGGGAAGTGAGGGGGCCGGGAGACAATGTCGGCCCCGTGGTCGGTGCGGGCCCTGGCATTTGCCCGGAACGTCAGCCTGTAGGTCTCAATCTGCAGGGACACGGGAGGAGGGGAGGGGGCAGGGGAGACACGAGGAGGGACACGGGGGAGACGGAAGACGAGACCAGAATGTCATCATTAGATGCCTGGAAAATAAAAGGTGACTTTGTTACAATTCAGGCCACACGCTAGTCAAAAACAAAGGAGTTCGATTTCCGGCCAGTGGCGGGCCCCGCTGGCCCTCAGGCCGAGCCCGGCCACTTACTTGTCTCCTGGATCTGGCTGTCCAAGGTCGGGGCCTCCCTTTGGTCACCACCCCCTGACAGGGTGGTGAGGCCACTGAGGCCACCGGCTGGAGCGGGGGCGCCAGCATCGGGTGCGCCCTCACAGGCGGCCGGCTCCGCCCCAGCGGGGGGCCCTGGACACGGAGGGGCCTCGATGCCGCCGCCCTCAGTCTACAATGAAACGTGGAGACGGTGCGGGGTCAGTGAGGAGGGAGTGGGATGGCGATGGCGGTGGGGTCACACACAGTCCCTGCCCGCCGCCCGCCCGCTGCCTCGTGGTGCCCGCCCGCCCCGGCACCCACGGGACAAACTGCCTGGCCGCAGAGTGCCAGGCGGCGGCAAGCGCGAGCCAGCCTGGGACAGCACACGCTCAGCAGGCCTCAGCGCCTGGCCAGTGGGGGGCTGCGTCCCACTGACCCTGTGGCCTCCTCCACGCAGCCCCGGGCCAGGGACAAGTGGGGCAGGAAGAAGGCGTGCGAGAAGGCAAGGCCCAGGAGGACCTGGGGCCCGGGGTACGGAGGGCTCTGTGTGCGGAGGGCAGAGAGGAGCGAGTGCAAGTGGGGGCAGCTGAGAGCCACACGGAGACTCTCCCATGGGCTCGAGGCGTGAGGGTGGAAGAAACAGGCCTGTGTGTTAGAAAAATAATACCAAAAATAAGAAAGAAAGGGACAGAATGTGAATAAAGAGAAGACCTGAACCTGACGGTGCACGCCTGTCATCCCAGCAGTCTGGGAAGCTGAGGCAGGAGGATTCAAGTGAGAGCTGTCTGGCCAATTTAGTGAGACCTGGTCTCCAAACAAAAAACCCCACAAGGCTGAGGTCAGAAGAAGTGGAGGAGCCTCTGGGTCCATGTGCCCTCGCCTAGGGCTTGCGGTGAGCTAGCAGACAGACTCCACGCAGATGGGCACAGGTGCGGTGGCCCAGGACAGCAAGCAGGGGGTGAGCAGCAGCTCCTGTGGCCTGCTCTCACCCTCCCCCACCCCCGAAGCAGCTGCAGGACCCTCCTGCTAGAAGGCCGAAGGACACTGCCCACAGTCGCCCAGCCACCACGACACGGAACAAGACAGACAGCACCTTGGCACACAGAGGTCTCACAGTACTGTGGAGGGACGGAGGGAAGGAGGGAGGGAGGGAGGGGAGCAGAGGAGGGAGGAAGCCCAGCCGGCACCCAGGATACAGAACCTCTGCTGCCAGCCCCCCTCCAGGGCTGCCGGCCAGGGCTCCCCTCTCCCGCCCTCTCCTGCCTCGCCGGTGCTAATGGCGGACGATGGCAGACAGCGACGGTGTGGGTGAACACATGGCTCCTGGAGACTGAGGGGCGGTGCCAACTGACGCTGCTGAGCGGAGGCTCTCTTTCTGTTTGTACTACCTGATTATATACAGCTCCCCATTTAATCGCGCTGAGGGAGGTACACTCGTTATGGGACCTGCCAGGGCGCCAATCCTAGTGGCCCCCCCCACCCCCACGGCCCGCCGTGGCTCCCTGGCGACCCACTCGCTACCTTCACGGTGCCTCCAGCAGGCAGATGGCCCACGTTATCCAGCGATCCCACCTTGGCCTGGGCCTTCTCCTTGAAGTTCAGCTTCTGGCTTTCAATCTTGACATCACCACCACCTGAAACCAGAGGTTACTTGGTCACGGCGGGTGCCAGGGGAATGAACACCATGTGCACAGCGCCCAGAGCCTGGAGGGGTCCGAGATTGCCAGGGACTGCGGGCCCAGTACAGTATCAGGGGAGGCCCAGATGAGGCGGCCGGGGGTCCCAGCACTCTGGGAGGCAGTGAGGACGACTGCAGGTTTGAGCCCAGTCTGGGAAACTTGCAAGACACTGTCTGAAATTTTAAAAATGAGCTGGGGATACATCTCGGTAGGAAGGCCCTGGGTTCAACGTCCAGTACTACGAAGACGAGGAAACAGGCTGCCCTCCCAGAGCAGAGCAGACACACTCCGCCTACCGGGAGAGCGTGCCACCCGCGCCCTGCTCACCAGCCTCCGCCTACCGGCAGAGCGTGCCACCCGCGCCCGGCGCCCTGCTCACCAGGCTTGTGCTTGATGTTCGCCTTGGACCCACACTTGGAGGAGACCCTGGAGATGTCCACCTTCTGGCTCTGGATCTGGACCTGCAGAGGAACAGGAAGCGCTCAGTGCCTTGGACAGAAGGGCAGGCAGGTGCCAGACCCACACTGCCTGCGCCGCCTCCTCCTGACCGCGCTTCCTTGCGCCCTCTTTCCGCCCCACCTCAGTCTGCTCCAGGCCAGGGTCATCCATCACCCAGCAGGTAAAAAAGCCACTGGTCCATCCTGTACCTGGCCCTCACCTCTGCCCCAGCTGGGCCGAGAAAACCCCGCTTTCCAGTTCTTTTCCCCACCCCGGCCCCACAGCCCAACAGCACAGCTTCCGAGGCGTCCCTGCTGTTCCAACTCAAAATCTCCCATCAACTGCTGCTCAGAGGAATCACCTGGAATAATATTTTGGCCTGTTTCCTCCCTTTTACTTTTTTTTGGAGGTGGCACGGAGTGGTACTGGGATGGAACTCAGTAGCTACATCCCCATCCTGTTTCAAAAATTTTAAAATTCTGAGACATGGTCTCACTAAGCCACAAAGGTATCTAGGCTAGTCTTGAATTGCAATCCTCCTGCCTCAGCCTCTCAGAGGCCGGAACTCCAAGTGTGCAGCACCAGCACGGGCCCTCCCTGGCAGCAGTGCCATGTGATGCTCCGCCCCCACTGACTCCACACAGGCATCGGTTGCCCATGAAGCATGGGCAATGCCAAGGAAGGGTGCAGAAGTATCTGTATTTCGTATCAATCGGTCCCAGGGCTCATGTTGAACATGGAGGTTATTTCCTGTTTTTCATTTCTACAAACATGGCAACAGTGATCTCTGTGACTCTGATCCCTCCTTGGGCGAGATGTCTGGTCAAGGACTGGGGCTGTTTTTCCCAGCCCTTTTGAGTTTTACTTTATGACAGTGTCCTTCCTGCTAAGTTGCTCAGGAGGATCTTCGATCTGTAACCCTCCTGCCTCAGCCTCTCTAAATGCTGGAGTCACAGGTCTGTGCCACTGCTTGTTCTCAGGTTCTTGATGCCAACCTGCTTTCCAGCACTGCTGCTGAAAACTATAGCCACAGCTCAGCGCATCTCCACACAGCCTCCCAGAACTGCACATTCTTACTAATAGCTAAACCTCCTAATTTGCAAGAGAAAAGCGCTACACTTCAGTGTCTTTGGTTTTTACCATTATTACTCTTCTTTGTGGTTCAAACCCAAAGAGGGGGAAAAACACGAAAGAGCGCTCGGAAAGGCGCACACCATTGAGACACCCTTAGCCCTCTGTACCTTCAGATATTCCCACTAAACTGCCTTGAATTTGGGATCTTCCTGCCTCAGCCTCTGAGTGCTAGAATCAAGGCATAACTGTTGGCTGATCTGCCTGTGCCACACCTCCAGGGCATACTTTTATCTTGCTTTTTCCTTTTACTTGGCCCAAGTTTGCTTTGCAGGGCTAGTTTCTCTCTCTCTACTTTTTCAACTGCCTTCCAAGACTATGTAACCCCCGTTGGGCATGGTAGCGTACACCTTTGTAATCCTAGCACTCCAGAAGCTGAGGCAGGGGGATCACTGCAAGTTCAAGGCCAGGCTGAACAACAAAGTGAATTCCTGTCTCAAAAAAAATAAAAAAATAAAACTCCCCATTGAATCATGTAGCTATGCTCTGGGTTGGAGAGTTTGTGCGTTCTCTATGCTTGGTCCTGCTTTTCTGGCGGCCAACGGAATCTCATCAATGTTTTTCCTGCAGGAGCCTTGGGAGACCTTCATGACCAGGCCTGACAGCGCACCTTAAATCCACATGGGAAGCAGCACCAGCTTCTAGCCTGATAGCAGCTACTCCCTGCAGCGGCCACCCTGGCGTGGATCAGCAGGATGTAGAGCCACATCCCCCTGGGTGGTGGTCTACACCTGGAGCCTCCATTTGCTTATCTTCTGCCTCACTCTCCAGAACCCAGCTGCAGTGACACATGGCTGTAGCCCCAGCACCCAGAGGGTAATGCAGGAGCACTAGTGTTTAAGCCCAGGCTGTACTACAGCAAGACCCTGTGTTGCTGGGATGGTTGGTGAGGGGAAGTTTTGATGAACAGCTGTAATGCAGCCAAAGAAGGATGCAACATTAGTTTTGTTTTGTTTTGTTTTGTTTTGTTTTGGTCTTTTTTAAGACAGAGTTTCACTATGCAGTTCAGGCTGGCCTTGAGCTTATTTTGTAGCCCAAGCTGGTCTCGAACTCACAATGATCCTCCTGCCTCAGCCTCCCGAGTGCTGGGATTACAGGCGTGCCCCACCATGCCTGGCGCAACATTGGGATGAGACTCAATCCCTGTGCACCTGAGCCCACAGACCAAGGTACTGACAAAATCACAAGCGTGTGACACATACAGGATGAGGCCTTGCCAAAATTGAGGGAAAAAATGTAAAAAGTCAATTTCAACAGGTGCAGGTGCTGCTCAGGACCATGAGGCAGTAGGAGTCCAAGTTGGAGGCCACTCTGAGCAAGTAAGCAGGAGTCTGTCCCAAAATAAAGTATAAAGGGCTGGGGTGTAGCTCAGCGTTCCACCCCCAGCAACATACAGCCACGCGCGTACACACCAACACAAGGAGACAGAGGAGTTATGTTAAAAATAAAGCACATGGGGTGCAATCGGCCGAATGCAGACTCTAGGATGGCCCACTAACCAAAAGGCAGTTAACTCATCAGAAAACTAGGCATGGTGGCACAGGACTATAATGTCAGCTCTCTGAGAGTCTCAGGCAGGAGGTTCACAGGTTTAAGCCCAGTCTGGGCAATCTACTGAGACTCTGTCAAAAAAAAAAGAAAAAAGGAGCCAGCATGGTGATGCACACTTGTAATCGTAGCACTCCTGCCTGGAGTGCAAGGTGAGCCTGAGTTACATAATGAGATTCTGTCTCAAAACAGACTAACAACAAAAAAAGGACTAAATATGCAGTGCAAAGGCCCTGGGTTCAATCCCTATTACTAAGGGGAGAAAAATATGGAGGAGCACTTATAGAAGACAAGAATTTTAAGACTGAAAGAGACTGTTACTAATATACCTCAGCCTGTACACCTCTCTGTACCTATTCCAAGGGGCCCAACACTAGCCTTACAGACAGTAAACTGAGCTGCGTAAAGATGTACCAATTCACTTGGGTAGATTTTCCTTTTACGCATTTTTTTCAACTTTCATATTAAAATTTTTTTTAAAGCCTGAGCTCACCCCCTTAACAAGGAGCCCTCCTTGGAGACACAGCCCCTCCTGTGTGAGGTCAGGGCCTGATGGACTGCAATGGGCCTCCTTCTCCACTTCCTCCATTCCCAAGCCCTGGGTGTGGGCCCTGAGCTTTGGGGGTCATGTGCTGCAGCCCCTTCACAGCTGCCTCAACTACCCGCTCCCCAGTGCAGCCTGCGGCCAGTGAAGCCATGGCCGCTCTTCGAAGGACGCCTTCTTGGTGTGCAGCCAGCAGAGCGTGCACTGCCTCTGCCCTCTGTGCAGGGCTCCTGCAAATGTACGAGATCAAAACCTGCTCAACGGAGCTGCCAGCAGGGCTAGGGAAACAGAACCAACACTGCCACCAGACCGTAACCAGGCCCGCCACTGGACACATGAACACAGCCCTCCCACCCCAGCCCTGCTGCCCTGGCCCGCATCAGGGCCCGCCTGTGTGCAGCGAGGGGCGCTGGCGGGCACCCTGTGGGGAACGGCACTCGGCGCACGCAGCGGCGCTCTGGGGGAGTGGGGAGTCACAGCTCACTGCAGGCTGCTGCTGCAGCCGCTGCTCACCCTCACCATCCCGCCCGGAAACACTGCTCGGAGCGGCTGCCAGTGCCGTCTGCGGAAGCCCTCAACAGCGCTTTCACACTAAGAAAAGCCCTGCTGGCAGCCACAGGTAGGCAGCGTGGAGAGACCGCAGGAGCTGACAGCACCTTCAGAGCGCTCGCGCGCCGGGCTCGCCACACGGAAACCAGCCTGCGTCACACACTTGAGGGAGCCGCCTCTGCTTCCCGTCTCTCGGGACCAAGAACCCGAGGGGAACTGGAGGGTCAGCGCCTTGGGGCCCTCACAGGTTCACGGTGGCAACCTCATCCACCGTGGCCAGCCTGATCGCAGGGGGCTGAGCTGGGGCGGTCACCTGGCCAGGCTCCCACGGAGACCGGAAGTCTCCCAGTGACTACAGGGTGCGGGGAGGCCAGGGCAGAGCGCAGAGCCTGGGAACGGGGCACTGGCTGAGGGAGCTAACATGCGAGTGGGACAGGGTGCCAACCTGCTGAGGACAGGAAGGACATGGAACTGAACGAGACAAAGGGAGATGCACACGGATGTTTTCTCTTGGCGCTGAGAAGCAGCAGCGAGGGCTAGGGCCCAAGGGAGGGCTCACAACGTGCTTCGGGTACAGTTCGAGCCCAGTGGCCCGGGCAGTGTCTCAGAGACCAAGGGAAAACGCACAGGGTGTTAAGACAGGGTCTCGCTAAGCTGTCCAGGCTGGGCTCAAACTTGAGACTACAGGTATATGCCTCGACGCCCAGCTAATCAAGGGACTGAAAACAGGAGAAATGAGAGTACGAAAGGAAAAAGGTCAGGACAGAAAGCAAAGGAAGGAGGACGCAGTGAGCGATATAAAGGAGAAAGCAGAGGTGGGGGAGGAGACTCGGACTAACTCTGACTTTACAACGGGAAGGACTCAAGGACGGGGCGGGGAGAGGAGAGGTTTGCCCAGCATGGCAGGCCTGTGGCGCTCTGCCCATGGGGCGAGAGATCCTATGAGAGCCCCGGGAGTGGCCTCGGGGCTCCGCTGCCCCCAGCACCGAGGCCGCCCCTCCCCTGGCTGTTCTGCCTCCTGCCCACAGCTGCCGCCTGGCCACCAGCGTCCCCACAGGAGGCTGCACCTCAGATGCCAGTGCGTATACTTACATTCCCACCTCCAGGGACATGCTTAATATTGTCCTTGGAACCACATTTGGACTGAATATGGCTGTAGCTCGCTTTTTTGGAGACTATCTGGACCTGGAGTGTTGGAGAACAGAAAAAAAACAAGACAAAGGGAGAGGGCTGGTTAGAAGCGACACAGGCAGGCAGGGAGTCTGCACACGATCGCAGAGACAGGGCGCGCCCTCCGTCCCAGCTGCGAGAGCAGGTGTGGGAAGGCACAGAAGGACTCAGAAGAAGCAAGCAAGGGAAGGCGCACGTGAACAAGACAAGACGACACAGCAGGGGCTGCAAGGGCTTCACTGCGCGCGGGGAGCTGGGCGATGGCGCACAAGGCCCGGACAGCAGCCGGCCCCGGATGACCACACTCGCCCGTTCTCCCACCCGCCCTGCCAGCCCGCAGGCCAGGCACTGGCTTGGAGAGGGCTGACCTCTGCATCTGTCCCAACTCCTCAGTTCGGGGCCTGCAGTGATGCAGCCGCACTGCTCCGAGAAGCTGGTACTGATAGCAAACAAGAGATGCTGTGCGGAGGAAAATGCAAACGGATAGCAAAGCTGGACAGCAGGGGGAGCACAAGCCCCACAGACCCCGCACGCCGAGCCCATCCGCCTCAGAGCTCAAGAAAGAAGACAGCAACAGAGGCTTAGCACTAGCTGGATTATTTTCTTTTTGCTTTTTGACATACGATCTCAGTATGCAGTTCAGGCTGGCCTTTAACTCACTAAGTAGCCCAGATTGGCTTTGAACTTGCAGCGATCTTCCTGCCTCAAGCCTCTCGAAGGCTGGGATTACAGGCTAGATTATCAGGCCCAACATAGATGTATTATTTTCGTGGTACTGGGTACTGAACCCAGGGCCCTGCATTGAGCTACATTCCTAGCCCTGCCCCCGTTTTTTGCTTTCAAAGAGTCTCAGTAAGTTGCCCATGTCAGGTTGGGCTCAGACTGCCTCCTAAGTAGTCAGGATTATAGGCATATGTTACCTGCCTGGACAGAACTTATTTTTGATTCAAAGGTCCAACACCAATTCCTGCTATAGACGCCCAGCCCCAAACCCTCTGAGTGTCCCGTGCAGGGAGAAGCTGTAGGCGGGGCCGCGAGGCGTGCAGCCCAGGGCACAAGCACCCTGCGCTGCCCCAGTGGCTGTGCTGGGCCTGGCCCTCAGCGTCCCACACAGAGTTCTTCCTGGGCCTCCGTGGGAAGGAACAGCGGCCAGCTCACCTCTTTCCTTCGTGCTTCACAAACGCTGCAGCCTCCAGACTGCAGAGCTCCCCCTGGGGTACGAAAATCCGCCCCGAGAAGCTAAAACAAGCCCCCTGCGTGCCTTGCCTTTCCTGCCTTCTTCCTGAGGAACAAGCCTGTCTGAACTGGGACCTACAGACCTCTCAGTGACAGAAGCTTCCACACCTGGACCCTCGGGCCAGGTGCAGAGGCCTGGGGTTTCTTTCGTTTGCTCTGCCGGATTCCTTGTACTGAGGGGATTTCTACCAGGATGGGCATCCAAATTTGCAGCTAAAGATGACGTAGGAACCAGGACAAAGCTTTGCCACAGACATCAGTTTTATGAGGGGCACCAGCGTCTCAGGGGCTGCCACCTCTTTTGAGGAGTAACTCTGGGTGTGGAACACATCTGGATTTCAGGTCACCATCAGTGAAAGAAGTGACAAAGAGTTCTTGAATCTTTTCTATCTGTGAATGACTAAACCCAGGGCCTTCGAGCCAAGCTGCATCCCCAGCTCTCTTTTTTGTATTTTGAGACAGGGTGTCACTAAATTACTAGGCTGCCCAGGCTGGACTTGAACTTGCTATGATCCTCCTGCCTCAGCCTCCCAAGTGCTGGGATTACAGGTGTGGGCCACCACACCCAGCTTCAAAATAAAAACTTAAAAAAGCGTTGGGGATATAGCTTATAGATAGCCTTGAGTTTGACCCCTCGCAGCCCTCTACCCGTGGAGTTTCCAACTCCGCACTCTCAGGGTTCGTACAAAACTTTTCCGATGGGTGAGTCATCAGACAGAGGAGGGAACACAGGGAAGAAGTGGAAGCTAGTTAAAGACAGGTAAAAAGTACAGTTCTGTTGTGCTTTAGAAAGTGACTCAGGCTGGAAGAAAAACATTACCATCTTTTTACCTCCCAGAGGTGAGTCTAAATAAAACTCACTTTCCCAGCAGGCGATTTCTGCACACTCGCAATGGGACCAGCTGTTTTAGTGACTGCATTAGGTTCGGGCTTTCGAGCTGTGGGAGCCGCCTCTGTTTTTTTCTCTACTTTGGCCTGGATGGAGATAAAGGGAGGGCACATTTCAAACCAAGAGGCTGAAAGAGCCCAAAAGCAAAGAACGGAAGAAGGCCGTAGAGAACTCAAATCCAGGCCAGGCAACCAGGCAGAAGCAGGTCCCCCTTGGCTGCAGGAAGAAGCACCCCTTTCCCAGGACAGACCAAGCCACAGACCCTGGGCAGAGTGTGGGGAAAAGAGCCTCAGGCCGAAGTCTTGAGCCACAAAGAAGCAGCTGGGACACCATTCATGGCAAGGTTGGAGGCGAGGCCAAGAAGACCACATTAGTGCGCATGGGGCTCACATTTCCAAACCAGGGTCCCCCTCTCCGATGTGCTGCTATGCCTCGATGAGCTGCCACACCCAGGGGGCCCTATGGGTGGCAGGAGGGTCACACTCTGCAGGTGCACTGACACAGAAAAGAACTCAACCACCAGACTGAGTTACTCAAGACCTCTTTAACTCTGACATCACGGAAGCCTAAGAACAGAGACAAGGGGAGTGGGACCACCAGCAATGCCGTTTGGCCTGGCCACAAGAAGCCTGAAGCCCTTTTTAGATAGCGCCTCCGGGCTCCAGCCCTGGCCTCGCCTGACACTCACTGTGCAGGCTAAGAATCCAGCATCCTTGGAGTCTGAGGCCTCCACGTGAAGATGTCCACCTAAACCCGCAGGTACAGAACAGGAGAGTCCCCAGTATGGGAAGAGCCAACGCAAGGAGCCTAAACCCCCCCGTCTCCGCCACCAGAGAGCCAGGCTGAGGCGTGGAAGGCCACACTCCAGCTCGCAGCCCCTTTGCAGTGGCAGTCGCAGTAGGGAAGCGGGGCGGTGTGCCGACGATGGATGCCCTGACTCACCCGGCCTCCTCCAGGCTGGTGCTTCATATTCTCTGTGGAGCCCACCTTGGAGCGCACGTTCTTCAGATCGGGGGCCGGAGCTGCGGTGGCTGGGCGGCTCAGCTTGGGGGCAGAGGAGCTGGGCTTGGCCGTGGTGGGCTTCTTGTCCACGGAAGGAGACACAGAGGGTCGGGAAAGCGGGGTGGGCTTGACTCGAGTGGCGGCCACTGCGGCCGGGGGTGCTGCCCCCGCGGGAGTGGTGGTTTTCTTTCCAGAGCCGGTAGGGGTGCTCCTGGAGCGACTCAGGTCAGCTGCAAGGCAGGAGAGAGTGGTGGCACAGGATGAGAGCGGAAGAGGAAAAGGGAGCCTGAAAGCACAGGCTGGCTTCGAGCTGGGCTTCGACAGCAGGGTGGGTGTTACCTGGTGCAGACTTCACCGTCGTCTTCTTCGTGTCTGCGGGTCTGCCTTCAGTCTTAATAGCTGCACAAACACAATAATACCACACTCAACGGACGGACAAGGACTGAGAGGCATGATGCACATACTGTGTATGACACACATGGACTAAGAAGAAGGTAACACAAGGATAAGAGAGAGCGTTAAAAACCCAAAGGGTGTGTCCAATGCTAAGATTCAACGTCCACTCAACAATGACTGGACATCCGCTCTGAGCTGGACTGCGTAAGCCTCGGGCAGGGAAGCCAGCCAAACGGGCCTGCGGTCGCCACAAGGCCAGGAGCTGTGTCACCCTGTTCCCTGCGCTCCTGACAATGTCTTCCACATGGCCTTAAAGCAGGTGATCAAAACGTACTGACGAAAGGGAATTGCCTGTTTTTTTCTTTTCTTCAACTCTTTTTTCCTGCAGTGGTGGGGATTGAACCCAGGGCCTCGCTCACACCAGGCAAGCACTCTAGCACTGAGCCCTGAATTGCCTTTTTTTTGTTTATTTTTCTGGCTTTTTTTAAAAGACAGGGTCTTGCTCTGCAGTTCAGGCTGGCTTGGACGAACTATGTGTTACTGAACTGTCTTTTTCATCGGTAGTGGGGATTGAAGCTAGGGCTTTCATACGAGCTACATCCACAGCCCTTCTGTTTTTGTTTTTTTTTTTGAAACAAGGTCTTGGTGTGTGGTTCAGGCTGGCTTTGAGCTTGTGGCAATCCTTCTGCCTCAGCTTATGGGCATTAGAATCACTTGCCACCATGCCTGGTATATTTTTTGTTTTGAGACAGGGTCTATGTCACTAAGTTTCTAAGTTGCCCAGGCTAGGCTTGAACATTAGATCCTCCTGCCTCAGCTTCCCAGAGCACTGAGATTACAGGTCTGTGCCACCAGCCTGGATTACTCTTAGCATCATTTAAACACATGGTACCAGGAAGTGTACAGCTGCTACAACAGGAACAAAATAAATTCTACTTGGGATTTCACAAGACTCTTCTTTACTTTCACTGTTTCTGAATATGCACAGCTGCTAAATTCATGTGGAGATCAAGGCTTGGTAAATACCCAGGACACTCTGTTATCCTGCCCAGCGTTCCTCACAGGAAGGACGGACACGTAACACTCACCGGCAGGCCTCTTGGGCACCGACGCTGGAGGGTTTCTACTGCTTGGCCCCGAGGAAGCAGGAGCAGCAGCTGGTGCAACCTTCGGAGCAGCTGAGGAGCTCTTGGGCCCGGGTCTGAGGGCCAGGGCTGAGGCGGGCTTGGACAGCAAGGCCTGCTTCTCAGGAACCTTTGCCTCTGAAATGTGCTGGACATGGGAAAGGGGGAGGGGTCAGAGTGGCAGGTTAGCAACAGCCCTAAGACACACGACAGAAGGTTCTACATGAACTCGCACAGGAGACTGGGGCCCTGTGGTGTGGGGGCTACTGACAGCTCTCAAACCAAATCCTCCAGATCATAAAGAAACCAGACTCAGAGGGGCCTATGCGATCCCAAGTAAGGAAACAGGGTCAGGCTAGTGCAACAAAGTGTGAACAGCAGCCCTGGAAAGCACACCACACATCTGCCTTGGAAACTACTGTGCGCGTGTGACCCACAGCATGGCTGGACAAGACGAAAGCCCCATGTCAGCAGAACACAAGCCAACGGCGACGCTGCCACTGCCACCATTCTTGGGGCTGCCATGCACCAGAGGGCACGTAACAAGGTGGGGCCGCTGCAGGTAGCAGGGCTGCCTACTGCATTCGGTCCGAAGCTTGAGCTATAGCCCTAGCCTGGCCTCTGACTTGCAGTCCAGTCCTGGAGACAGCACTGAGCCCCTCTGTGCTTAATTTCCTCATGTGGAAAAAGGAGATCAGAACAGAGCATCACTAAGGACCACCTTGATAGTATGTAATCTTAGGGTTAGGAAAGCATTAATCCGGCCTAGTGGCTACAGGGATCGGGGACGAAGACACTATACATGCATAGTCTTTTTGAGACAGGGTCTTGCTATGTAGTCCAGCCTGGCCTTGAACTTGCTCTGTAGCCCAGGCTGGCCTCAAACTCACAAAGATCCTCTTGCCTCAGCCTCCCGCGTGCTGGGATTACAGGTGTGTGCCACCACGCCCGGCCTTGAAGACACTATTTTGATAAGCAAACATGCACATCAGTTGAAGCAGGAAGCCAAAGCACAGACACAGGGGACCCAGCTCTTCTACTCCAAGAGAAGTGCCACCCAGAGGGCAGGGCATTGGCGCAGACAAGTTTAAATGGAGTCTGCTAGGGAGGTGACTAGAAACTACAGGCTATGCCAGGCATGGTGGCAAACACCTGCAACCCCAGTTCTCAGGAGGAGCACAAGTGTGAGGCCAGCCTGGGCTACACCGTGAGTTCAAGGGCAGCCTGAACCACACAGCAAGGCCCTGTCTCAGGGAAGGGATGATGGAGTCACGGGCTGGACCCTAATTAAACCAGGCCTAACTGCCAATGCAGGGTGATGCCCAGCTCCACAAATCTGAGGGTGTGCTCTAGCATATTCTTCGAACTTTCACTATGACTACGAGTTAGGAAAACCTAACACAGTCTCAGCATTTTACTAGTAAGAGTAGTAATAAAATAAGTTAGTAAAAGTTACTTGAGGAGGCTGAGGCAGGATGGTCACAGTGTGTTCAAGGCTAGCCTGGGCTACACAGTGAGATCCTGTCACCTCACAAAGCAAAGCAAAGCAAAACAAAACATCAAAGCAAAGCAAAGCAAAAAAGTTACCTGAGGAAGAAATCCCTAAAGGATATGAAATCCTTCAGACATCAGGCTCTTGGCCTCAGCAAGCCTCAAGGGCAGCCTATCCTTTATAACTGAAGTTATTTTGCTATTTCTGTTCATATTTTCTCCTCTGCCAGAGATCTAATTATTTTTAAGAACAGGTTTTCCTTTGTTTTGTTCTATAAATCTTTCTACCAAAATAATAGGCAAAAATTATTTTATTAGACTTCTGTTGCCATCAATTTCTCAAAAAAAAGTTTTACCTGTTTCTCATGTAAAAAACAAGGCCAGGGGGCTGGGGATTTAGCTCAGAGGCACAGCGCTTGCCTAGCAAGTGCAAGGTCGTGAGTTCGATTCCCAGTACCAGAAAAAAAACCAAATAAACAACAACAACAAAAAAACCCCACAAATAAACAAACTAAAAACAAGGCCAGCTACAGCTTGAAATACTACCTAAAGAACCATACTAAAACAGGGTTGCAGATTCCCCAAGCTCTAAACACTGGCTCTGCTGCTTATTCAGAGACTTTAGGAAGGTGACTTCACTGAATTTAACATCTCTCAACTACAACACAAAGACACTAGTGCCTGCATCACGAACGCCTGAGAGAGAATCAAAGGAGGTAAAGCATATAAAGAAACCAAGAGAGTGCGCCTCACTACTGAGACCCACTAGATGCCTCCCCTCCCTCACCCTCAGGAACCAATGCTGAGTAGGCCTCAAAAGGACCTGTCACCGCATTTCCAGTCATTTGTCCTCTGCCCTGTCATTCAAATAAATTACTTCTAAAGATCCAGAAAGGGGGCCAACTTGGTCAATGTGGGTTAGAAAGAGAGTATTTCAAGACTTTATCATTCCTGCTCTATGAAAGCATTTCTCAGTTTCTTGGCCAGGGTTTCACCCTAGCATACAAGCCCTAGGTGCTGCCAGTTTTCTTTACCACGTTAAATCATCGCAAGGACATGCTCCCGTGGGAGACTCTTGCCCACCACGCGTGTGCACTACAGCAGCCTGGCCTACAGCCCTTCTCAAAGGGAGCGTTAGGAGGCAGCTCAGCCTCCACCGACCTTCTGCTCCTGAGCAACTCTGTCACGCGAAGTGGCTCCTAATATGATCAGGTTCTGAGTGACACACAAAGTGAGGCTGACCTGGGGAGGTGGAGAACATCAGAAGCAGCCCAGTGAGAAGTGGCCTAATGGCAAACACAAAGGAACTTGTCACATGATGCTGCAACATGCGGAGATCAGCTGGAAGAGCCAGGGTATCACTAACATAATGTGAGAAATTCCCCTCTGCAGGACTAGACAATGGCAAATGATTAAATTTGATGTGGGAATTACACTTACAAAGAGTGTCTGATTAGTATGTGGAGCTGGGGAAACAGGTTAACGGGTCCATAAATAGGCCAAGTAAGGAACAATTCAGAAAAGGCAGAAGTACCAAAGTAGATGAAATATTGCTTCTTGCCAGGCGTGGTGGTGCATGCCTGTAATCGGGAGGCTGAGGCAGAAGGACTGCTGTGAGTTTGAGGCCCACCTGGGCTACAAAGTGAGTTCAAGGCCAGCCTGAACTATACAGCGAGACCCTGCCTCGAAAACTGCTTCTAACTGGGGCAAGGAAAGGTACAGAGAATAGGAGGGTTTCAAAGGGCCAGGCTGTACCCACGGGCACCCAAAGTGATTTTACAAGCACCCTACCCCTTCCTCAATCTGCCAGCTTGAGTCCATTGTTTATCAGCAAGAAGAACCTGTCTGGAGATGTGCAGAGGGGAAACTGTGCCCTGGCGTGCGACTTGGAGAGTACTTACCTTTGGCTTTGTGTCTCTCGAAGGTAAGGTGGAAGTCCTGGCAGTGGCAGCAGCAGGGCGTTTGGGTGGGGCAGCTGGTACTAAGCCTGAAGCAAGACTCATGGGTTTTTTATTCGACCCACCAGAGGTGGTAGGAGCTGGATGCTTAGGGACAGGAGTGAGCTGTGTTTTGGCTTTCGATGTTGAAGTCTTTGCAGGTTGAGTGGTGGCCAAAGGCTTTAGGTTGATGGTTGTTTTTTTTTATATTTTATATTTTAATTTTTTAAAGACCAACATCAAACACACAAACAAGAATAAAAACAAATAAAAAAGTATAAATTGCACAATTCAAAGTAAAATTATAAACAATGGGGATGATGCAACTGAAAATTAGCATTTCTTTCTTCTGAGCTCAGAAAACAGGAAAACGATACCAGAATAGAGAGAAAGAAACTGGGAAGATTTTTTTTGTTTTGTTTTAGTGCTGGAGATTGAACCCAGGGCTTCACGCACGCTAAGCACACACTCTACCGTACAGTACATCACCAGCCTGCAGCAATTCTTTAAGGACAGTGCCACAAATTCTAACATTTTGGCACCCGAATATTTAACATCAGTAATAGCTTTATAGTATTAGTTAACTTTTGGTAGCTGTAATACTTTTAGAGAAAAAATTATCAGCAGGTAATTGAGATATTATTACCTATATCTTTTCTCTGTTGGTGTTTTTCTGAGCCAGGGTCTTGCTGTGTGGCCAAGGCTGGCCTTACAGTTACAGTCTTCCTCCCTCAGCTTCCTGCTAGCTGGGATTACTGGCACCTGGTATGGCGCCCACCTTGTTTAGTCATTATTCACTTATTTGGAACACTGGGGAATGAACACAAGGCTACAACTCCAGCCCTTTTTGTTTTTTTGAGACCTGGTCTTGCGGAGTTGTTTAAGTTGCCCCAGCCTGGGTTTGAATTTGTGATCCTTCTGCCTCAGCCTCCAGAATACTTGGATTATAGGCATGCACCACCACACTTGGCCATATTATTTGTATCCTGATATGACAATATCACTGTATCCTAATCTGCAGCATCTGAACCTCAAAAAAAGTACAAGAAAGTAGCAGGTTATAGCAGTATACACCTGTAATCCCAGTACTTGGGAGGCTGAGGCAGGAGGACTGCTTACAGTTTAAGGCCAGCCTCACCTACACAGTGAGACCCTGCCTCAAAAAAAGTACAAGAAACTATCTAGAAAAAAAAAAAAAAAAAAAAAGGAAGTGTCTAAGGCTACAACCCACTTTTAAAAATCTGCATTCCCTTTTTATAAACACATATTTCAGAGGACTCCAATTGTCCTTTTTGTAAGGGAAGCAGAAACAACCTCAGTAGAAGTTTTTTTTATAGATCCATAAGATAAAAAGGGTTAAAGGCAGAACAACTGAAAAGTTTTCGTTAGATTGCTATGGTAAAATGGGAATACTAAGATATTTTCTGCTGGGTATGGTGGGACACATACCTAAAATCTCAGCATGCGGAAGGCTGAGGCAGGAAGATTACACTGAGTTTGAGGCCAGTCTGGGCTACACAGTGAGGCCAGTCTGGGCTACACAGTGAGTACACGCCTCAGCTATATAGCAAGACCCTGTCCACACCCCGCCACCAAGATATTTGCTAAGCACATCCATGCTTGAAGGAAAGACCTGTATTGGCTCAGAAAAAAGAAAACACATTCATGATTCAAGCAATAGTAGCAGAAGGCACTGTTTTTAAAAATTACAGCAGCAGAAGATTCTGGCACCTACCTTGGTTTTCTTCTCTGGGCTTGGTGGGAGTTCCTTGTTTGGTGGGGTAGAGATGTCATTTCCGGTCACACTCACAGCCACCTTTCCTTCTTCTGACCTGGCTATTCCTAAGGGAGGTGGTAACTGGGAATTATTTAAAGCAAATATTTTTTACATCCATTTTGAAAAAGCTAGGCACAGCAGTCAGAGCTCTAACTCCCACTTCATTCAGAAAACAGTTCCACAGGTCTGTGCTGCTGCAGCGTAGACAAGACTCCCAAGCTCTCACTGAGACAGAGGGCCATTTAGATTCCCGAAAATCAGGGAGTTGTCCCTGTGGAGAATAAATCTAAATGGGTTTTGTACAAATGATCAGAGAAAGGAAATGGCACTTAAAGTTTGGTTTCCCCTCCCTAGAGACCACAAAGAGGTACTGTCACCCAGCAGCGCACACAAGGGACAAAAACCTCTTCAACTGGAGTCTGTCTCTTGGAATAAAGGTTGTAGAGAGATGGGGTAAAAGCCAGAATATCATCCACTGTGCTCCCTCTACTTCCTCTCCCTGTAAAGAACCACTTTATGGAGGATGTGAGATTAACCTGCTCCAGTTCTCACAGTGACCCAGATTTGCAACAAGGCAGAGGAGACTATGGAACTAGACCCAGGGCTAGAAATAGTCACCTGCCTCAGGCGGCACTGCCTCCTCCTGATGGAGGGGCTGCAGCAGATTTTAACAGGGCTGTGCTTGAAAGGACTACACACCATGACATTTAGAAATGGAGTAGGGAAGGTACAAAAGGTACAAAATCCAGAGCCAAAAAAGTTAAGGCTAACTAAAAAATAAAAACGCAAAAGGCAAATACTAAACAGAAAAAGAAAAAATTTGAGCTTCCATTATTGAAGAGCTTGTAATATAAATTATTCCAACAAATCAGTGACTCTAATGCGAAAAAAAATGAACAAAAGATATGGGCATAGTTTATAGGGAATAAATGTCTTCTAAAAATATGAAAAAGACGTCTAATCTTCGGTATGGGAGAAAAGAATTATGTTAAAATGCCTTCTTTTTGGATAGAAACATCTTTCATTTGGGTAACATGTTCCAAAAAAGGTCAGTTAGTAAAAAAGATTCTACAGAATATGGCTTATGCACAGCCCTCTCCCTGCAATAATAACCCTGGGAGGTTGGCATTTCCTTCTCCCCAGGCTCAACAGCTCTGTGTTTATCATCTGGCCTGGGACACTATGTCCCTGTCCCCTACAGCTACTCTGGAGCAGCTGTAGGTGCTGCAGGGCTCCCCTCAAACCAGCCCAGCCTGGACAAGACTTTGCCCCAGCTCAAACATGGAACCAAAACAAACAGCAAGTAGGTCCCCTCCACTGAAGTGCTGCTGGGCAGGGCCTGAAATGCTATTTTTAGCCAGGCACGATGGCACATGCCTGTCACCCTAGCACTCTGGGACCCTGTTAGAAAACAAAACAAAACAAAACAAAACACAGCTTAGTGGAAAGGCCCTGAGTTGAATCTCCAGTACCTTAAACAATAAAAAAGCTCTTTTTAATGCAACATATTATCAAATGCCCTAAAATTTGAAAATAAGTATTGGAAGGAGGTGAGGTAGGGAAGTACGCCACTGGTAACACTGGTGAACTGGCCCCACTGGCAGGGCAGTCTGATCTGATACTGGCTCTGAAAATTGCATTGTAGAAAAATTTCAACAGAAATTCCACTTCTAGAAGTTCATTTTAGAGATGTATTTCAAAAGGCAAAACACGGAGACAATCTTTCAAAGTTTGTTAACAGAAAACAAATATCAGTATAATTGTGCATAGTGGCACATGCCTACAATTCCAGCTATTTGGGAGCCTGAGACAGAAAGATTCCAAGTTTGAGGCCAGGCTGGGCAACTTAGTAAGACTTGGACTCAGAATAAAATAAACAAGGCTGGGCCTGAGTTCAATCCTTAGCATCGAAAATAAACAACCCAGGTATATCACTATAATGTCTCATTCTGAAAAAATAAAGCAGGAAAAGATTCTTTTGTGACTAATATAGAATGATCCTTATCAAATGAAAAATAACTAACAAGGGCACATAACAGTATGCATAACATGAGACCATTTGTCTAAAAAGAGGGTGGGAGAAATATACTATTGAAAATACCACTCTATATACAAACGGGTAACCTAACTTTTTTTTCTTTTTTAGGTGGCGGGGAAGGATGGGGTACAAAACTGGAGAAGTTAGGAGGCTTGAAACTTTTTGTTTAGAGAAATGGAAGAGATTCTCAGAAGTTGCAAAGGCATGCAGAGGGAGGTGTCCTGCGTAGCCGTCACCCCAGCTCCTCTACTGCCAACCTGCATAACTGGAGCAAACTATCAAAACTGGGACCTGAAACTGGTACAATCTTTAGAGCTTACTCCATTTTCCAGTCTTACACTCACTCATTTGTGTGTGTTGCTATTCAATTTTACATGTCATTTCATGTCACCGCCACCAACAAGGAACAATTCTTCCAGCAAGAATTGCTCAGTCTTGTCACCCACCACTTCCCAATGCTTCAATCTTTGGCGTCTCTGTCTCTGAAATAATTTCCAGCACGTTGTAAGTGACAGGGGTGAGAAAGACCTCCTGGCTCCACTCCCAGTCCTGGAAGGGGAGCATGGAGCTTTCTGTCATTAAGCGCACTGCTGGCTCTGCGGTCCGGACTGGCTTGGAATTGTAGGCTCCGGTGCCCCCACCTCTGCGCCCTGCTCCTGCCCACCACGCCTGACTGGTGCACGTTTCCTGTGGGTGTCAGGGAAGCTGTTGCTCTATTTCTAGTTTAATGAGCGATTTCTCATGAATGAGTGCTGCATTCGGTGGAATGCTTTTTCTGTATTTATGATTTTCCTTTTTTACACTGCACATATGGTGGGTTATTCCTGTTATTTTGATTATTGAATCTATCTTGTACATTTGGAATAAGTCTCACTTGGCTGTTATGTATAATTTTTTATATATTGCTCAGTGTGATTTGGTAATATTTTCTGTTAGAATTCTTCCATCCAACTTTAAAATAGTTACTAGTTTTAAATTTTCTTTCTTTATTTTTTTTGAGACCGGGTCTCACTATGCAGTTCAGGACGGCCTCAAACTCACAACGATCCTCCTGCCTCAGCCTCCTGAGTGCTGGGATTACAGGTGTGCACCACCAAGCCTGGCTTAAATATTCTATTTTTTAAATATTATCTTTGTCTGCTTCTGGTACAAAGATATTGACCTTACAGAGTTAGGATGTGTTCCTTCTTTAATATTTTATGAAAGAATTGCTGTTAATTATTAGTTAAGCGTAGTAAACTTACCAGTAAAACAATGTGGACTGAGGATTTCTTTTTTAGGACTTTCTCCCTTCCTTCCTTTCTCCTTCTCTCCCTACCCCTCCCTTTTTTTCTTTCTGGGTTGCAGAGAATTGAACACAGGGCCTCTTGCTAAGCAAATGCTTTATCACTGTACTCTTAGCCTCCTTTTTATTTTTAAGACAGTCATGTTAAATTGCTCAGCCTAGTTAAAGCACAGTTCCTAGCTGGGCATGATGGCACACATCTCTAATCTCAGCACTTGGGAGGCTGAGGCAGTAGAACTGCTGTGAGTTCAAGGCCAGCCTGGGCTATATAGTGAGTTCAAGGCCAGCTGAATTACACACCCAGTTCCTCTCTCAAGAAACCAAAACAGAATTATCCTGCCTCAGCCTCCCAAGTGCTGAGATTATAAGCATGAACTACTACAAGCAGAGAGGATTGCTCTATCTTTTTATTAATGTTTTTTGGGGTTTTCTTTTTTGTTGTTGTTTTGTTTTTTTGGAACCAAACTCACAACCTTGTGCTTGCTAGATAGGCACTGTGCTGCTGAGCTACATCCCCAGCCCTGTTTTTGAGACAGGGTCTCATTGTTCAGCCTGGCCTCAAACTCAGGGCAATCCTCCTCCCTCAGACTCCCAAATGCTGGGATCACAAGCATGCGCCACAACACCTGGATTATTTATCTTTTTGTGATACTGGGGATCAAACCTAGGGTTTTGCAGATGCTTAGCAAGAGCTCTCCCACTGAGCTACACCCCTGGCCTTTATCTTTTGAAACAGGGTCTCCTTACTTTTTTTTTGCACTGGGAATTGAACTAAGGACCTTGCACTTGTAGGCAGGTGCTGTGCCACTGAGTGATACCCCTAGTGGGGGCTCCTTAAATTGCTCAGATGGGCTCAAACTTATGCTCTTCACCCCTCAGCTTCTAAAGTAACTGGAATTATAGTTATGCACTACTGAGTCTGCCTTAATGTTTCCTTTCCTTTTTTTTTTTTTTTTTTGAGACAGGGTTTGCTACGTAGTTCTTGCCGGCACTGAAATCACTATGCAGCTCAAGCTGGCCTCAAACTACCAGCAATCCTGCCTCAGCCTCTACAGTGCTGGGTTTCAGGTGTCCACCACCATGCCTGGCTGATAATGTCAAGAACACTGTTTTGGATGCTTTTTGTGGTGGCTGCTCTAGTTATTACATACAGTATACACATAGCCTAACTATTGAAACCTCACTTCCATTTAGGACCCTTAACTCCATTTTAAAAATAAAATATCTTAAATATTTCTTTTCCATACACTGAGCACTACAACAAAATGTAGTACAGTATAATGTTTGCTTCATTCATCAAATAAGCTTTAAAAACTCCTGACAGGCCAAGCATGGTGGCGCATGCCTATAATCCCAGCACTCAGGAGGCTGAGGCAGGAGGATCATTCCAAGTTTGAGGCCAGCTCGGGCTGCAAAGTGAGCTCAACGCCAGCCTGAACTCCATAGTGCAACCCTGTCTCAAAAAGACAAAAACAAATTAAAAAAATAAAAACTCCTGACAAAGAAGGTCTTATTTATAGTTCCTCCTATTTTACCCACTCCATTTCTATTATTTCACTTGAGAACTTCCCCACTTCTTTTTTTTTTTTTTTGTTTTTTCTCCGGTACCAGGAACCGAACTCACGACCTTGCGCTTGCCAGGCAGGCGCTTTGCCGCTGAGCTAAATCCCCAGCCCCCCCCACTTCTTGTTAACTTTCTGGAGAGCATCCTTCAGCCATTCCCTAGGGCATGGCTACCAGCA